AGAGGGAGGGAGGGGGAGTGGTTTGGTGGAGAGGGAGGGGAGGGGGAGTGGAGAGGGGGGGGGGAGTGGTTTGGTGGAGAGGGAGGGGAGGGGGGAGTGGTTTTTTGGTGGAGAGGGAGGGGAGGGGGGAGTGGTTTGGTGGAGAGGGAGGGGAAGGGGGAGTGGTTTGGTGGAGAGGGAGGGGAAGGGGGAGTGGTTTGGTGGAGAGGGAGGGGAGGGGGGAGTGGTTTGGTGGAGAGGGAGGGGAGGGGGAGTGGTTTGGTGGAGAGGGAGGGGAGGGGGGAGTGGTTTGGTGGAGAGGGAGGGGAGGGGGAGTGGTTTGGTGGAGAGGGGGGGAGGGGGGAGTGGTTTGGTGGAGAGGGAGGGGAGAGAGGGGAGGGGAGTGGTTTGGTGGGAGAGGGAGGGAGGGTGGGAGGGGGAGTGGTTTGGTGGAGAGGGAGGGGAGGGGGGAGTGGTTTGGTGGAGAGGGAGGGGAGGGGGAGTGGTTTGGTGGAGAGGGAGGGAAGGGGGAGTGGTTTGGTGGAGAGGGAGGGGAAGGGGGAGTGGTTTGGTGGAGAGGGGGGAGGGGGAGTGGTTTGGTGGAGAGGGAGGGGAGGGGGGAGTGGTTTGGTGGAGAGGGAGGGGAGGGGGGATGGTTTGGGGGGAGAGGGTGGAGAGGAGGGGAGGGGAGTGGTTTGGTGGAGAGGGAGGGGAGGGGGGAGTGGTTTGGTGGAGAGGGAGGGGAGGGGGGAATGGTTTGGTGGAGAGGGAGGGGAGGGGGGAATGGTTTGGTGGAGAGGGAGGGGAGGGGGGAATGGTTTGGTGGAGAGGGAGGGGAAGGGGGGAGTGGGAGGTGGAGTGGGGTGGGAGGGGGGGGGAGTGTTTTGGTGGAGAGGGAGGGGAGGGGGAGTGGTTTGGTTGAGAGGGAGGGGAAGGGGGAGTGGTTTCGTGGAGAGGGGAGGGGGGAATGGTTTGGTGGAGAGGGAGGGGAGGGGGGAGTGGTTTCCAGTTGGCGCTACGGCTAAGCTAACAGCATCGCTTACTGCACCTTTAAACACGTAAATATTCCAAACGCCTGTATTTTTAGACAGGAGCCATTTTGAAAGATGTATTTATCCGGTGAGTGTACGGCAGCAGCATGGATCTGTCAAGTTGTAAGATTTTAAATGCAGCCTGCTGAAATATTTATCCAGCGCCTGGGTTTTTCTTTTTTTTTTTTGGACGACAGCTGCGTTAGAAGCTTTAACATGTAGGATTAACCCAGAAATGTATTACAGCATAAAGTAGAGGGGGTTTAATTTTTAACTTGTGACTTGGACGAGGAAGTTTCTCATCAAGTCGTCCATGACCTCAAATCAAAGTTGGACTGTGAGGCCGATGGGGATGACAGGTTTGGGGTAATTTCAGGGTTTTTATGCATGGGTAAGAGTTGGGGTTAAGAAGAAGCTTTTCAACATATTAGTATCTCACAGAGAGACAGGACAAGGAGAGAGCAGAGCTGAGGTGGCTGCGTTGGAGGGACGGTAAAATATGAACTTTTGCACAAGAAGACTATAGCTGTAGCTTTAAAGTAGCTATATGTAAGATTTTTATGTCAAGTCATCATTAAAGGGCCCTAATCTGTCATCATTAAAGGGCCCTAATCTGTCAAAAGGCATTAATAAAACCTGCTCTTTTCCAATACTTCTTTAACTGATAACAGTAGTTCAGAAATATTTGGATTTCTAAATGAGTTTTCCAGCCTCTAAATCTTGTTATTGTTTTCACCAATCAGAAAGTCTGTGATCCGGGCGCCAGAACTCGTTGGTTATAGATTTGTTGTTGACAAAACTCTTGTCTATTCAGCTGTTATGGTCCCAGCTGGATTCGTCTGCATATCTGGCAACCTGAGTCAGGGAGAGTGGGAGAGGCTGCAGTACCACTTTTGGCCAGATTTTTAACATACTGCTTCTTTAAGAATATGTTTTTTTTGTTTTGTTTACTCACATAAACCAGCTTAGACCGTGTACAGATGGACACAGATTCACCCCTCAGCTGTTTGGCACGTATAAAGTATTGGTAATGGAGGTAAAAAATGGAGGTATAAGTTATTCAGTATTGTTCAAAAGTGAATTTATTTATGTAATTCCTCTTAATAAAGGCTTGCTGTCCTTTTGAATGAAAATACGAAATGATAAGAACAATGCATTGGTTTTAATCACTTTTTGCAAAGACGCTTCAATGACTCCATACACAGTGTTTATAATCTACAACTGTGGCCGTATCTGCCCTGGGGCACACTGACAGAAGTGAGGCAACCAGTATGTGCCATCTGTCCCTCCGACCACCACCAACCATTCACACAAACACACACACATGTAATTGTGTGTTTCTCGGCCATTATTCATTTATTTATTTATTTGAAACGGGAAAGTGCAAATTATACAATGTTACTGTGTATGAGTTAGCTAAATTAAGCTAATTTCCATCAGCTGTTAAGGCCAACCTTAAAATAAAAAAACTAATGGGCTATAACTTTTGCCGTCTGTGGGCTTTTTCAAAATGACAAATGAAAAAACTCATTTGCGCATGCTTTAGCCGGCACTATAGTTCCACTAGTTCCTCGTGTGTTCATTCAAACTAGACTAGACTAGACTAGACTAGACTGGTCCAAAGAAAATCCTCCCCTCAGCATCAACAACATCTGGAACGCACTTTTGGACCAAGAGCCTCTTTTGGACCATCCTGTAAAGACGTTTTTGAGAGGAAAGAAAGCGGCATACAAAAGCATTGGGTAATTCTCTTTCCGGGTACACCCCCACAGGCCTGGAGTGAGATTGCAGCATGTCAGCGCATGATGTGCTCATAGACCTTTTGGAGCCGGGACCCGCCCACACTGGTTTCCTCATCTTTTTACTTCCTGGTGTCTTGTTTAAAACCACATTATTTCCATGGTTAAAGTCAGTGACAAAAGTTTAAAAACCATTATTATCATTCTAGTCACTCCTCCTCCTCCTCTTCTTCCTCCTCCTGTTAAAAGCAGTTGTTATCCTCTCACACAAACAAAGACTCTTTTGTTCGATCCGTCTCATAAATCTCTCTAAAACGACACGGCGGATCACAACACACTCGGGCAGATTCTTGGACCAAATGAGGACATCTGTCTTGATCATGAAGAGCCAACACAAAGGAATGTTTCCCCAAAACTTCAAAAAAATATTAACACCTGGACCAGAGCTTTCAGGACCTGGAACTTTCCCCTCTTCGCTGCAGACGCTTCTTTTGTGTTGTGCAGACGGAGGCCGGGGGACGAGTCCAAACATGTGGGTCTGTTCAGTTCTGTCAGACTGTGTTTGAGCTCCCATTTTCTGAATCTATATAAATGTGTCATAATTACATTGGACCTGAAAGAGCCGTTTACTCAGATTATAATGTTTATAGTATTTATGTAAATGATTCACTCATGTGCTTCTTTACAAGACACTCTACAGCAGAAGTGTGTTAGTTTCACAGGACCAGAGTAACAAGAGAGACCAGAGAGAGAGACCACAGAGAGACACCAGAGAGACAAGAGAGAGACCAGAGAGAGACAAGAGAGAGACTAGAGAGAGAGACCAGAGAGAGACATAAGAGAGCGAGAGAGAAACCAGAGAGAGACTAGAGAGAGAGAGAGAGAGACCAGAGAGAGAGACCAGAGAGAGAGACAAGAGAGAGACCAGAGAGACACCAGAGAGAGAGACAAGAGAGAGACCAGAAACAGACCACGGAGAGACGTAAGAGACCAGAGAGAGACCGAAGAAAGACCAGGGAGAGACTTGAGAGAGAGAGAGAGAGAGAGACTTGAGTGAGAAACCAGAGAGAGACAAAAGAGAGAACAGAGAGAGACTAGAGAGAGACATGGAAGAGACCAGAGAGACATGAGAGAGAGACACTGGAGAGAGATAAGAGAGAGAGAGAGACCAGAGAGAGACATAGCAGAGACCAGAGGCCTATGGGGAAAAACTCCTCACATCCCTTGTGGATTTAAGCTGCAGTACCGCAGGTGGCCTCTTGCAAATGCGTCTAAAAAAAATTATTTTCCTGTGGGAGGGGCTGCCCACGGCCATTTTGAATCCGGCTCGATGACACGGACTGGTTGCCTCGCTTCTGTCAGTGTGCCCCAGGGCAGCTGTTTATCATCACTCTGTATGGAGAGATTTTTCTAATAAATTCTCTTTCGAAGTTTCAGAGTTTGACTTGTTGGAATAACTCAAATGTTTACGTCCAATACAGACACATTATTTTTAATCTCTATATTGTTATTATACTACAGGGTCATGGTAAAAAATAAATGTGTTAATTTCAATTTGAAGTTGCTTTAATGTGGTTCTGAGTTTGTCCCGTGATCTGAGGCACACATTAATGTTAATCTTTAGCTCAGTAGAAAAAATGAATAATTTAAAATAAGCTTTAAAATATTTAGAGTCATATTTAATCTTGAGTATCTGAGTGCGTTTGTTAAGCCTCTGATTTTTGGCATTAGTTAACGACACTCAACATTATGTCTACTCTGTGTTCATTATAGCCTTCATGTTTAGACTGTTCACTGCTAAAAGTGATGAAAAATAAGTAAAGAATTGCTCAAATTTGGCACATCTTAGTTTGAGTACATTCTGACTGAGCGTTAAAACAAGATTTGCCAACGAGACAAAGCAAAAATGATCTTGTTTTGAGAAGATACAAGAAATGTCTCCCTTGGAATGGGAAAATAGAAAGAAATAATAAAAAAAGACATTTAAAAAAAATAAAAAAGACTAAATGGCTTTGTCCCGTTGGCAAATCATGTTTTAAGACAGTTAGAATGTTCTCAAAGTAAGATAAAAAACTTCTTGATTTAAGCATTTATTACCTATTATGTTTCATCTTGTTTTTTTTGCAGTGTAGAAAAGCAAATATGGGCAAAAAACGAGACAAATCAGACCCTGAGGAAAACTCCAAAACTCATTTCTGTTTCCTGTTTGGTCTGATCTCGTCACGATGCACTCCTCACCTCAAAAACATCATCAAAAATAAATGTGTCTGTTACGAAAGTCTGAGGGCCGTGTGTTGTTGAGGGCCGTGTGGTGTTGAGGGGTGTGTGGTGTTGAGGGTTGTGTGGTGTTGAGGGCCGTGTGGTGTTGAGGGCCGTGTGGTGTTGAGGGTTGTGTGGTGTTGGAGGGCCGTGTGGTGTTGAGGGTTGTGTGGTGTTGAGGGCCGTGTGGTGTTGAGGGCCGTGTGGTGTTGAGGGTTGTGTGGTGTTTGAGGGCTGTGTGGTGTTGAGGGCCGTGTGGTGTTGAGGGCCGTGTGGTGTTGAGGGCTGTGTGGTGTTGAGGGCTGTGTGGTGTTGAGGGCTGTGTGGTGTTGAGGGCCGTGTGGTGTTGAGGGCCGTGTGGTGTTGGGGGCCGTGTGGTGTTGAGGGCCGTGTGGTGTTGAGGGCCGTGTGGTGTTGGGGGCCGTGTGGTGTTGAGGGTTGTGTGGTGTTGAGGGCCGTGTGGTGTTGAGGGCCGTGTGGTGTTGAGGGCCGTGTGGTGTTGAGGGCCGTGTGGTGTTGAGGGCCGTGTGTTGTTGAGTGCCGTGTGGTGTTGAGGGCCGTGTGTTGTTGAGTGCCGTGTGGTGTTGAGGGCCGTGTGTTGTTGAGGGCCGTGTGGTGTTGAGGGCCGTGTGGTGTTGAGGGCCGTGTGGTGTTGAGGGCCGTGTGGTGTTGAGGGCCGTGTGGTGTTGAGGGCCGTGTGGTGTTGAGGGCCGTGTGGTGTTGAGGGTTGTGTGGTGTTGAGGGCCGTGTGGTGTTGAGGGTTGTGTGGTGTTGAGGGCTGTGTGGTGTTGAGGGCCGTGTGGTGTTGAGGGCCGTGTGGTGTTGAGGGCCGTGTGGTGTTGGGGGCCGTGTGGTGTTGAGGGTTGTGTGTTGTTGAGGGCCGTGTGGTGTTGAGGGCCGTGTGGTGTTGAGGGCCGTGCGTTGTTGAGGGCCGTGTGGTGTTGAGGGCCGTGTGTTGTTGAGGGCCGTGTGGTGTTGAGGGCCGTGTGGTGTTGAGGGCCGTGTGGTGTTGAGGGCCGTGTGGTGTTGAGGGCCGTGTGGTGTTGAGGGCCGTGTGGTGTTGAGGGTTGTGTGGTGTTGAGGGCCGTGTGGTGTTGAGGGCCGTGTGGTGTTGGGGGCCGTGTGGTGTTGAGGGCCGTGTGTTGTTGAGGGCCGTGTAGTGTTGAGGGCCGGTGGTGTTGAGGGCCGTGTGTTGTTGAGGGCTGTGTGTGTTGAGGGCCGTGTGGTGTTGAGGGCCGTGTGGTGTTGAGGGTTGTGTGGTGTTGAGGGCCGTGTGGTGTTGAGGGCCGTGTGGTGTTGAGGGCCGTGTGGTGTTGGGGGCCGTGTGGTGTTGAGGGCCGTGTGGTGTTGAGGGCTGTGTGTGTTGAGGGCCGTGTGGTGTTGAGGGCCGTGTGGTGTTGAGGGTTGTGTGGTGTGGTGTTGAGGGCCGTGTGTTGTTGAGGGTTTTGTGGTGTTGAGGGTTGTGTGGTGTTGAGGGCCGTGTGGTGTTGGGGGCCGTGTGGTGTTGAGGGCCGTGTGGTGTTGAGGGCTGTGTGTTGTTGAGGGTTGTGTGTTGTTGAGGGCTGTGTGTTGTTGAGGGCCGTGTGGTGTTGAGGGCCGTGTGTTGTTGAGGGCCGTGTGGTGTTGAGGGTTGTGTGGTGTTGAGGGCTGTGTGTTGTTGAGGGCCGTGTGTTGTTGAGGGCCGTGTGGTGTTGAGGGTTGTGTGGTGTTGAGGGCCGTATGGTGTTGAGGGCCGTGTGTTGTTGAGGGCCGTGTGGTGTTGAGGGTTGTGTGGTGTTGAGGGCCGTGTGGTGTTGAGGGTTGTGTGGTGTTGGGGGCCGTGTGTTGTTGAGGGCCGTGTGGTGTTGGGGGCCGTGTGTTGTTGAGGGCTGTGTGTTGTTGAGGGTTGTGTGTTGTTGAGGGCTGTGTGTTGTTGAGGGCCGTGTGGTGTTGAGGGTTGTGTGGTGTTGGGGGCCGTGTGTTGTTGAGGGCCGTGTGGTGTTGGGGGCCGTGTGTTGTTGAGGGCCGTGTGGTGTTGGGGGCCGTGTGGTGTTGAGGGCCGTGTGGTGTTGAGGGCCGTGTGGTGTTGGGGGCCGTGTGGTGTTGAGGGCCGTGTGGTGTTGAGGGCTGTGTGTTGTTGAGGGTTGTGTGTTGTTGGGGGCTGTGTGTTGTTGAGGGCCGTGTGGTGTTGAGGGCCGTGTGTTGTTGAGGGCCGTGTGGTGTTGAGGGTTGTGTGGTGTTGAGGGCTGTGTGTTGTTGAGGGCCGTGTGTTGTTGAGGGCCGTGTGGTGTTGAGGGTTGTGTGGTGTTGAGGGCCGTGTGTTGTTGAGGGCCGTGTGGTGTTGAGGGTTGTGTGGTGTTGGGGGCCGTGTGTTGTTGAGGGCCGTGTGGTGTTGGGGGCCGTGTGTTGTTGAGGGCCGTGTGGTGTGGGGGGCCGTGTGTTGTTGAGGGCCGTGTGGTGTTGGGGGCCGTGTGGTGTTGAGGGCCGTGTGGTGTTGAGGGCCGTGTGTGGTGTTGAGGGCCGTGTGGTGTTGGGGGCCGTGTGGTGTTGAGGGCCGTGTGGTGTTGAGGGCCGTGTGTGGTGTTGAGGGCCGTGTGGTGTTGAGGGCCGTGTGTGGTGTTGAGGGCCGTGTGGTGTTGAGGGCCGTGTGGTGTTGAGGGCCGTGTGTTGTTGAGGGCCGTGTGGTGTTGAGGGCCGTGTGGTGTTGAGGGCCGTGTGTGGTGTTGAGGGCCGTGTGGTGTTGAGGGCCGTGTGGTGTTGAGGGCCGTGTGTTGTTGAGGGCCGTGTGGTGTTGAGGGCCGTGTGGTGTTGGGGGCCGTGTAGTGTTGAGGGTTGTGTGGTGTTGAGGGCTGTGTGGTGTTGAGGGCCGTGTGGTGTTGAGGGTTGTGTGGTGTTGAGGGCTGTGTGTTGTTGGGGGCCGTGTGGTGTTGAGGGCTGTGTGGTGTTGAGGGCTGTGTGTTGTTGGGGGCCGTGTGGTGTTGGGGGCTGTGTGGTGTTGAGGGCCGTGTGGTGTTGAGGGCCGTGTGGTGTTGGGGGCCGTGTAGTGTTGAGGGTTGTGTAGTGTTGAGGGCCGTGTGGTGTTGGAGGGTTGTGTGGTGTTGAGGGCCGTGTGGTGTTGAGGGTTGTGTGGTGTTGAGGGCTGTGTGTTGTTGGGGGCCGTGTGGTGTTGGGGGCTGTGTGTTGTTGGGGGCCGTGTGGTGTTGGGGGCTGTGTGGTGTTGGGGGCTGTGTGTTGTTGAGGGCCGTGTAGTGTTGAGGGCCGTGTGGTGTTGGGGGTTGTGTAGTGTTGAGGGCCGTGTGGTGTTGGGGGCCGTGTAGTGTTGAGGGTTGTGTAGTGTTGGGGGCTGTGTGTTGTTGAGGGCCGTGTAGTGTTGAGGGCCGTGTGGTGTTGGGGGCCGTGTAGTGTTGAGGGTTGTGTGGTGTTGGGGGCTGTGTGTTGTTGAGGGCCGTGTAGTGTTGAGGGCCGTGTGGTGTTGAGGGTTGTGTGGTGTTGGGGGTTGTGTAGTGTTGAGGGCCGTGTGGTGTTGGGGGTTGTGTAGTGTTGAGGGCCGTGTGGTGTTGAGGGTTGTGTGGTGTTGGGGGTTGTGTGGTGTTGAGGGCCGTGTGGTGTTGAGGGCCGTGTGGTGTTGAGGGTTGTGTGGTGTTGGGGGTTGTGTAGTGTTGAGGGCCGTGTGTGTGTTGAGGGTTGTGTGGTGTTGAGGGCCGTGTGGTGTTGAGGGTTGTGTGGTGTTGAGGGCCGTGTGGTGTTGAGGGTTGTGTGGTGTTGGGGGCCGTGTGGTGTTGAGGGCCGTGTGTGTGTTGAGGGCCGTGTGTTGTTGAGGGCCGTGTGTGTGTTGAGGGCCGTGTGTTGTTGAGGGCCGTGTGTGTGTTGAGGGCCGTGTGGTGTTGAGGGTTGTGTGGTGTTGAGGGCCGTGTGGTGTTGAGGGTTGTGTGGTGTTGAGGGCCGTGTGTTGTTGAGGGCTGTGTGTGTGTTGAGGGCCGTGTGTGTGTTGAGGGCCGTGTGTTGTTGAGGGCCGTGTGTGTGTTGAGGGCCGTGTGTTGTTGAGGGCCGTGTGTGTGTTGAGGGCCGTGTGTGTGTTGAGGGCCGTGTGTGTGTTGAGGGCCGTGTGTTGTTGAGGACCGTGTGTGGTGTTGAGGGCCGTGTGGTGTTGAGGGCTGTGTGGTGTTGAGGGCTGTGTGGTGTTGAGGGTTGTGTGTTGTTGAGGGCTGTGTGGTGTTGAGGGTTGTGTGGTGTTGAGGGTCGTGTGGTGTTGAGGGTTGTGTGGTGTTGAGGGTTGTGTGTTGTTGAGGGCCATGTGTTGTTGAGGGCCGTGTGTGTGTTGAGGGCCGTGTGTGTGTTGAGGGCCGTGTGTTGTTGAGGGCCGTGTGTGTGTTGAGGGCCGTGTGTTGTTGAGGGCCGTGTGTGTGTTGAGGGCCGTGTGGTGTTGAGGGTTGTGTGGTGTTGAGGGCCGTGTGGTGTTGAGGGTTGTGTGTTGTTGAGGGTTGTGTGTTGTTGAGGGCCGTGTGGTGTTGAGGGCCGTGTGTGTGTTGAGGGCCGTGTGGTGTTGAGGGTTGTGTGGTGTTGAGGGCCGTGTGTTGTTGAGGGTTGTGTGTTGTTGAGGGCCGTGTGTTGTTGAGGGCCGTGTGTGTGTTGAGGGCCGTGTGTGTGTTGAGGGCCGTGTGTGTGTTGAGGGCCGTGTGTTGTTGAGGACCGTGTGGTGTTGAGGGCCGTGTGGTGTTGAGGGCTGTGTGGTGTTGAGGGCTGTGTGGTGTTGAGGGTTGTGTGTTGTTGAGGGCTGTGTGGTGTTGAGGGTTGTGTGGTGTTGAGGGCCGTGTGGTGTTGAGGGTTGTGTGGTGTTGAGGGTTGTGTGTTGTTGAGGGCCGTGTGTTGTTGAGGGCCGTGTGTGTGTTGAGGGCCGTGTGTGTGTTGAGGGCCGTGTGTTGTTGAGGGCCGTGTGTGTGTTGAGGGCCGTGTGTTGTTGAGGGCCGTGTGTGTGTTGAGGGCCGTGTGGTGTTGAGGGTTGTGTGTTGTTGAGGGTTGTGTGGTGTTGAGGGTTGTGTGTTGTTGAGGGTTGTGTGTTGTTGAGGGCCGTGTGGTGTTGAGGGCCGTGTGTGTGTTGAGGGCCGTGTGGTGTTGAGGGTTGTGTGGTGTTGAGGGCCGTGTGTTGTTGAGGGTTGTGTGTTGTTGAGGGCCGTGTGGTGTTGAGGGTTGTGTGTTGTTGAGGGTTGTGTGTTGTTGAGGGCCGTGTGGTGTTGAGGGTTGTGTGTTGTTGAGGGTTGTGTTGTGTTGAGGGTTGTGTGTTGTTGAGGGCCGTGTGGTGTTGAGGGTTGTGTGTTGTTGAGGGTTGTGTGTTGTTGAGGGCCGTGTGGTGTTGAGGGTTGTGTGTTGTTGAGGGTTGTGTGTTGTTGAGGGCCGTGTGGTGTTGAGGGTTGTGTGTTGTTGAGGGTTGTGTGGTGTTGAGGGCCGTGTGTTGTTGAGGGTTGTGTGGTGTTGAGGGTTGTGTGGTGTTGAGGGCCGTGTGTTGTTGAGGGTTGTGTGTTGTTGAGGGTTGTGTGGTGTTGAGGGTTGTGTGTTTGTTGAGGGTTGTGTGGTGTTGAGGGTTGTGTGTTGTTGAGGGCCGTGTGGTGTTGAGGGTTGTGTGTTGTTGAGGGCTGTGTGTTGTTGAGGACCGTGTGTGTGTTGAGGGTTGTGTGTTGTTGAGGGTTGTGTGGTGTTGAGGGCCGTGTGGTGTTGAGGGTTGTGTGTTGTTGAGGGCTGTGTGTTGTTGAGGGCCGTGTGTGTGTTGAGGGTTGTGTGTTGTTGAGGGCCGTGTGTTGTTGAGGGTTGTATGTTGTTGAGGGTTGTGTGGTGTTGAGGGTTGTGTGGTGTTGAGGGCCGTGTGTTGTTGAGGGTTGTGTGTTGTTGAGGGTTGTGTGGTGTTGAGGGTTGTGTGTTGTTGAGGGTTGTGTGGTGTTGAGGGTTGTGTGTTGTTGAGGGCCGTGTGGTGTTGAGGGTTGTGTGTTGTTGAGGGCTGTGTGTTGTTGAGGGCCGTGTGTGTGTTGAGGGTTGTGTGTTGTTGAGGGTTGTGTGGTGTTGAGGGCCGTGTGGTGTTGAGGGTTGTGTGTTGTTGAGGGCTGTGTGTTGTTGAGGGCTGTGTGGTGTTGAGGGCCGTGTGTGTGTTGAGGGTTGTGTGTTGTTGAGGGCTGTGTGGTGTTGAGGGCCGTGTGTGTGTTGAGGGTTGACATAGATCTATAATAATACCTGGATAGCGTATTACTAGCTTAAAGCTGTCACATCCTTGGGAACAGGGGGCGCTGTGGTACTTCAGACTAAACCAGACAAAATTCAAGTGGGCTACCCAGACATTTTCCCCATAGACCTCAATGTAAACTAAAACAGCTCAACCTCAGCTGACAGAGAACCTGACAGAGAACCTACAGCTTTCACAAAGGTCAGATTTTGTGGGGATTTTAGTGTCCCTTGTCATTCTGAACTTTTTTTCTTCTTAAATCCTTCTGTTTTCTTTAAATCCACACTTAACTGCCACAAACTCCTTTCCTTCCTGCTCTGACTCCGCTCTGATGAACAGCTCTGTGCACGTGCATGAAAGCCTCACACGCGTATTTGGCGCAAAGCCTCATGGGAGCTCGTCCACTGCACAGAACCAGGAGGACCAGACGAGGCCCAAAATATGGCCGAGTTCTGGTCATCTCTCTGTCCCCGTGTACAGTATGTCCCATGCACTACTGAGCACAAGCCATTGATTTGTATAGGACGCCATCTTGGATCACTGGGGCTCGGGTGTTGGGGGCCGTGTTGTGTTGGGGGCCGTGTTGTGACGATGAGGAGCAGCTGGTTGCTCTGACACTTCCCAAACAGAGGAAGATGGATCTCTGATGACTTCTGGATGTTTGAATTCTTGTTTCTGTGCAGTGGAGGAGAGCTGTACCCGCTGCTTCAACACTCTCATTTTACACAATTTACACAAATGCATTTGTCTCACAAGCAATTTCACGACTGTGAATCAGAGACAGAGAGAAGAGACGGAGAGAAGAGACGGAGAGAAGAGACAGAAAGAAGAGACAGAGAGAAGAGACGGAGAGAAGAGACGGAGAGAAGAGACGGAGAGAAGAGACAGAGAGAAGAGACAAAGAGAAGAGACGGAGAGAAGAGACAGAGAGAAGAGACAGAGAGAGTCGGTTATGTCGGGGTTTGAGCTTTGAATTTCTATCAGAATCCAGAATCAGAATCAGAATCATTTTTTATAGCCCAACCGTAAGTAACGGGAGGTCACAGACTTATGGAAATTGATCAAATACAAAAATAATATAACAATACAAGATGACAAAATACATATAATTTCAATGTTGGGTTTGGCTGTAATCCACAACAGCATTCTGGTCTCTCTCTGGTTTCTCTGTGGTCTCTCTCTAGTCTCTCTCTTGTCTCTCTCTAGTTTCTCCCTGGTGTCTCTCTGGTGGTTAGTGGTGGTCGGAGGAGCCGATGGTACAGACTAGTTGCCTCTGTCAGTGTGCCCCAGGGCAGCTGTGGCTACACTAGTAGTTTATCAGCACCATGTATGGAGTGAAAGAATAATGACGTCTGAAGCGTCTTTGAGAATCCAGAAGGCGCAATATAAAACCAATGTATTATTATTATTATTATTATTATCATATAAAACCAATGTATTATTATTATTATTATTATTATTATTATTATCATATAAAACCAATGTATTATTATTATTATTATTATTATTATTATCATATAAAACCAATGTATTATTATTATTATTATTATTATTATCATATAAAACCAATGTATTATTATTATTATTATTATCATATAAAACCAATGTATTATTACTAACAGTAGTGACATTGCAAGATGTTTATTCAGTAAAGAATATAAGGGAACAAAACAAAACCCCAAATACAGAATCTCAGAACATTTACATTTTTTGAAAACGGACAAACTCCATGAATACATTTCACAGAATAACTTGAATGACAGAAGGAAATAGACTTTTGAACCTGTATATTCAAGAATGCGAAGCAGAGATCCATTATTGGTCCTGCAGTGAGGAAATGTCAGTGTTGCATCAGCAGTTACACAACAGGAATGAGGAGCACACAGCACAAGATACATGAATAATAACTGTTTACTAAAATAAAATAAAATCTCTAACCTTAGCCTAATAAATAAACAAGTGAAATCTGTGAATAAGAAGTAGTTTTACTCTCTGTTTATTTATCACAACAACACACTGCCTTTTCTTCACAAGGCAAGTTTATTTATATAGCACAATTCATACACAAGGCAACTCAAAGTGCTGAACAAAACAAGAAAGCATTAAAATCATAAATAATCACAGAACATTAAAAAGAAAGATACAAATATAAAATCCCTCAGTTGTATGCACAGCTAAACAGAACTGTCTTTAACCTGGTTTTAAACATTGTCAGAGAGGATCCCTGTCTCACATCTCCAGGAAGACTGTTCCACTGTCTTCACTAATCCTTAAACTCGTCACCTCCCTCCCACTTCCACCTCTCACTTCTTCATAATTATATTTAAAACCCACTTCTTTTCTCCGGTGAATAAAAAGCCTCGTCAGTCGCCTGCTCTGTTGTCCGTTTAGCTCGCCGGGTCCAGTCTATTCCAGGCTCAAATGTTGCATGTGTCTGTTTTTTTGGTCCAGGATTTTTTAAGTGGTTTGGTTTTGGGCCCACACTCCGCCCTCCTGTCTCGACATCACCCTCTCAACCTGGTCCTCCCTCACACCCCGCTAACTATAGCCCTGCAGGAAGAAAAGGGCCGCTCAAGCCCAACAACAAAAAAAGCCATTTCCAAAAAAAAGCCATTGCCAGATAAAGGCGCTCCCTGGTAATACTGAGGTCCTGAGAGAGACCAGAGAGAGACCAGAGAGACCAGAAAGAGACCAGAGAGAGACCAGAGAGACAGGTCAGAGAGAGACCAGAGAGAGACCAGAGAGAGAGACCAGAGAGAGAGACCAGAGAGAGAGACCAGAGAGACAGGTCAGAGAGAGACCAGAGAGAGACCAGAGAGAGAGACCAGAGAGAGAGACCAGAGAGAGAGACCAGAGAAAGACCAGAGAGAGACCAGAGAGAGACCAGAGAGAGAGACCAGAGAGGGACCAGAGAAAGACCAGAGAAAGACCAGACAGAGACCAGAGAGAGACCAGAGAGAGACCAGAGAGAGAGAGAGAGAGAGAGAGAGACCAGAGAAAGACCAGAGAGAGAGACCAGAGAGAGACCAGAGAGAGACCAGAGAGAGAGACCAGAGAGAGACCAGAGAGAGAGACCAGAGAGAGAGACCAGAGAGAGACCAGAGAGAGAGACCAGAGAGAGAGACCAGAGAAAGACCAGAGAGACCAGAGAGAGGTCAGAGAAAGACCAGAGAGAGAGACCAGAGAGAGACCAGAGAGAGAGACCAGAGAAAGACCAGAGAGAGGTCAAAGAGAGACCAGAGAGAGGTCAGAGAGGTCCGACAGAGGTCCGAGAGAGACCAGAGAGAGGTCATAGAGAGACCAGAGAAAGACCAGAGAAAGACCGGAGAGAGACCAGATAGAGGCTAGAGAGAGACTTAAATTGTTTATTTTGTGTGCTCCTACTACTGTCCTGTCTGTGCGCTGCAACACTGACATTTCCTCACCGTGAGACAAATAAAAAATACCTTATTCTTATCTTCAGGGTTCCACCAGTGACCAGAGACCAGTGAGTGGGATGTTTACGGCTCTTGTTTTAAGATAGGAGTAGAAGTGAGTTTGAGATGCAAAGTGTCCTCTGACCTCTGACTCTGGGTAAGTCCAGTAACGAGCAGCTTTAACCTCAGAGTGAGCGCTCTCTCTGCAGGCGCTCTGCAAACACCACACACAACCTTTGGACTTACAATACAATTATGATGTATACAGAGGAGACTGCAGGACTCACACACACACTCTCTCACACACACACACACTATCTCACCCCATCCACAAGTTGTAGATGATAAATTATAAGGAAAGAGTAAAGCAGAGACTGAAATGATAAAACAAAATGTGTGGAAATTCTTTGGGATTATGAACCGATGTACTGCTGTGTGGTCAAAGGTACTGCTGCAGAGATGGGGCCTGGTCTTGGACCTGCTGGCAAAAGTATGAAGCTATTATTATTATAAGATTTTCATGTCAAGTCATCATTAAAGGGCCCTAATCTGTCAAAAGGCATTAATAAACGTGCTCTTTTCCAATACTTCTTTAACTGATAACAGTAGTTCAGAGATATGTGAATTTCTAAATGAGTTTTCCAGTCCCTAAATCTTGTTATTGTTTTCATTTCGATGTCCCGCCCTCCACCGTTTCACCAATCAGAAAGTCTGTGATCCGGGCGCCAGAACTCACTGTGTGGAGCTAATCTCACTGGTAAAGTACCATGTGGCGCAGAACTAAAAAAGGTCTCGTTATGATTCTCGAATACGACAGTAGCTCAGTTGGTAGAGCATTGGCCTTTGAGCCTGAAGGTCGTGGATTCGAGCCCACCACGAGACCTTCTCCACCGACTCCCACTGATGTCTGCTGTCGTTGTGTCCTTGGGGAAGACACCTCTTCAGCCCGATTGCCCCCCATTTGGGGTCCGCCCCCCCTTGCTGCAGCTTGTCCGGACCGTAGCTGACAGATACAACAACTGACAATCACATGTTTCACATCCTCGTGTTCGGACAACTCTCAGCTACAACATTATCCACTTCAATTTCAGTTCAACAGACCCAGGTTCAAACAACAAACCACAATCTGACAAATCGTCATAAAGCACATGTCGAATCAAATGTTTGCTTTGGCGTCACAAGCGCCCTCAACACAATAAGTAGCCATGCTGTCAGCACACCATTAGAAAGCCCTCCCCGAGCTGAACACAACGCTATAAGGCTGGTATCGCTACCTCTAAAACTCGCTGACCAAGCCGCAGACGAATGCCAGAAAACAAAGCAGTAAAACATCAGCGTTGAAGTAATAGTTGACTTCCATAGTCATTTCCATAGGAATAAAAGTCCGTTTTTTCTTGTATTCAACCTCATAGCGAGGCTTCGACACCGATCTGGCAGATACCTGTTACTTCCACCTTCTGTAAGAGGCCCTTTGTGATAGGCTGCACCCGTGCGTCATGTCACGTACCTCTGTGTATCTCTTCCTGTGATTGGCCACAGGTGCTGTCCATCAATACGTTTTCAATGGTTTTTGATAGCCGAAGGTGTCTTCTTTCCAAAATGGTATGACATGCCCTGATTGGCCAAAGTACCGCGGAGGCGTGGACATGCGTATAGTTGGGGCAGAAGGAGATGGAGGAGAGGATCTGTGCGCAAACCCTTTACGCACGGCAGGTAGAGCAGTACTCGGAATTTTGACGAAAGTAAAAGATGGCAAAACAGCGTTATACACGCAAGGAGGTTGTAGAGCTTCTTGCTAGGGAACCGGGTGCCAAAGTTTATCTCGATGACTCTACAGACAGCGAGTTTGCCATTTGGCACAATTTTGGCACAGTTGGATTCCGCCTGGACTTTTTTTCCAATTCCATGTACAACTCTGCAGTGGTTTGTTTATTTGGCACATTTTTTGCTGGACTGGTCCAAAATACCGGGAACTGTCCATTTTTGTTCTTATTTGCTACACCACAGACAGGGAAAAAGCTTTTTTGAGGGAAAATATGTGGGTTTTTTTTAGGCGGAAGTTAGAATTGTCTGTTTCAACCTCATTTTATTGTCAACCAATACAATTTATCATCTTAATACTATATGAAATCTTAGTAAATGTAGATTATAGCTTTTTCGGGAAAAAAGGCCTCTGGGCTTACCTCTGGGAGCCACAGTGGGGCGGCTGCGGCTGTAAAGTGCCAAGCTGCTGTTGTGTCCCTGGGCAAGACACTTCACCCAGCTTGAATAGAATGAGCCTAGAATGAGTCTGGTGTATGTGTGAATGGTTGGTGGTGGTGGGAGGGGCCGATGGCACAGACTGGTTGCCTCGCTTCTGTCAGTGTGCCCCAGGGCAGCTGTGGCTACAGTAGTAGTTTATCACCACTGTGTTTGGAAAGAATAAATAATGATGTGAAGCGTTTTTGAGTGTGCAAAATAGCGCTGTAAAAAAACCTGATGCATTATTATGAGTGCTGCCAACCTGCACCAATCAAAACACTGTTTAAAAGCAGAAACTTCCAACATCTGACCTCGTTTCCAGAGCCACCACCAGAACCTGCACCTCATGCCACCACCAGAACCTGCACCTCATGCCACCACCAGAACCTGCACCTCATGCCACCACCAGAACCTGCACCTCATGCCACCACCAGAACCCGGACCTCATGCCACCACCAGAACCTGCACCTCATGCCACCACCAGAACCCGGACCTCATGCCACCACCAGAACCTGCACCTCATGCCACCACCAGAACCCGGACCTCATGCCACCACCAGAACCTGCACCTCATGCCACCACCAGAACCCGGACCTCATGCCACCACCAGAACCTGCACCTCATGCCACCACCAGAACCCGGACCTCATGCCACCACCAGAACCTGCACCTCATGCCACCACCAGAACCCAGACCTCATGCCACCAGTGCCAGTACACAAGAGCAGTCTGGATACTACGGTACTTAACAACTATCGTCCCATCTCAAATCTGCCATTTATGGGGAAAGTCCTTGAGAAAGTTGTCTACCAACAGATTTCTAGATTTCTTATAATCAACAACTCATTTGATATGTTTCAGTCCGGCTTTAGACCCCGCCACAGCACTGAGACTGCTCTCGTTAAGGTAACAAACGATATCCGGCTGAACACTGACGCAGGCAAAGTCTCAATCTTAATCTTGTTAGATCTGAGTGCTGCCTTTGACACTGTCGACCATGAGATCCTCTTGCAGAGACTAGAGGACTGGGTTGGCGTCGCTGGCACCGCCCTAAGTTGGTTTAGGTCTTACCTTGAAGACAGGAAGTACTTTGTGGAGATTGGAAACTGTGTCTCAGATCATATGGCCCTGACCTATGGAGTCCCACAGGGGTCGATCCTGGGACCTCTTCTGTTCAATCTCTACATGCTGCCGTTAGGTCAGTTAATACGCAGAAACAAAGTGTCCTATCACAACTATGCAGACGACACTCAGATCTATGTCTCACTGACTGCAGGAGAACATGGACCAGTGGACTCACTCCTTCACTGTATCAAACAGATCAGTGAGTGGATGCAAAACAACTTCCTTCAGCTAAACGCAGACAAAACTGAAATGATTGTCTTTGGTCCCCAGAAACAAAGAGAGAGCGTCATCTGTCACCTACAGTCTCTCTCCCTAAAACCTTCAAACAAGGTCAGAAATCTAGGGGTAATACTGGACTCAGACTTAAATTTTAATTGCCACATCAAATCAGTAACATCAGCAGCTTTTTACCATCTAAAAAACATTGCCAGGATCAAAAACATAGTGTCTAAAGCAGACTTGGAGATTCTTATCCATGCATTTGTCTCCAGGTTAGACTACTGCAATGGCCTGCTCACAGGTCTGTCCAAACAGGCTGTAAAACAGCTGCAGTACATTCAAAATGCAGCAGCTCGAGTCCTGACTAGAACCAGGAAGTACGACCACATTAGTCCAGTCCTCAGGTCTCTGCACTGGCTTCCTGTGGCTCAGAGAATAGACTTTAAAACAGCTCTGCTTGTTACAAGTCTCTCCATGGCCTCGCACCAAAATATATTAGTGACATGTTAGTCCCATATGAACCAGCCCGGACTCTGAGGAGCACAGGGACTGGCCTCCTGTTAGTGCCCAGAGTCAGAACTAAACATGGGGAGGCTGCTTTTCAGATTCATGCTGCTAAAATCTGGAACAGTCTTCCTGAAGATGTGAGACAGGCCTCCTCTCTGACAATGTTTAAAATGGTTCTGTTTAGCTGTGCATACAACTGAGGGATTTTATATTTGTATCTTCCTTTTTAATGTTCTGTGATTATTTATGATTTTAATGCTTTCTTATTTTGTTCAGCACTTTGAGTTGCCTTGTGTATGAATTGTGCTATACAAATAAACTTGCCTTACCTGGGTCCCGGGGCTTCACAAGAAATCATCTTTACAAACAAACTCATTGAATGAAATGTCTGTGTAGTTTCTCCAGATTTAAATGGTGCAGTGACTGTAGTAGTAGTAATAGTGCAGTAACTTTAGTAGTAGTAGTATTTGACACACATACTTTCCTGAGCCCGGTGCAGTCTGTGGTTCTGAGTTTGCAGTCACAGATCTGTTGTTTGGTTGTTGTTCCCGGAGACACAAACGCTCCTTTGTTTTGTCTCTGACCACAGACAGACGTGGGCGCGGTCTCTCTCACAACACTGCGTCTGCGCCCGCGACTAATAAAGATCTATGGTTTTGAATTACACCCAATCAACCAAAACCACGAGGCCCAGACCGAGGGCTTAAAGGAGACATTCTACTGAAGAGAAAAGACCAGAACGGTGCGATATTTTTTAACCAGGCAGGTTCCACAGACACAGACTTTAATGAAGAGAGAGACCATAGGAAGACCAAAGAGAGAGACCAGAGAGAGACCAGAGAGATAGAGACCAGAGAGAGACCAGAGAGAGACCAAAGAGAGAGACCAGAGAGAGACTAGACAGAGATCAGAGAGAGACCAGAGAGAGACTAGAGAGAGACCAGAGAGAGACTAGAGAAAGAGATCAGAGAAAGACCAGAGAGAGAGCAGAGAGAGACCAGAGAGAGACCAGAAAGAGGTCAGAGAAAGACCAGAGAGAGGCCAGAGAGAGAGACCAGAGAGAGGTCAGAGAGAGACTCCTAAACCGAGCTCTTCAAACACAAGGACAGTGGTGATGATCCAGGACATCAGACCATTTGAGGGAATATGGTTAAAAACACACACAAAAAACACATATTGACGATTCATTCATTTTCAAACCCATTTATTAGTCAAATTCTGGGTTGGGGGGCCCACAGGAAGATTACAGCAGACATGAGTATGGGAGCAGATGTGGGGGGGATCGAACCTATGAACTTCAGGCCCAAAGGCTTATGCTCTACCAACTGAGAAACCATTACCACAGTTCATTACCAAGATGTGTTGATTATGCTTGAATCAAGAGGTTGTAATCTTAATTTGAGTTCATTCTGACGCTCTGTGTTAAAACCAGATCCTCCAATGGAGCAAAGTCATGTAGGCTTATCTCAAGAACTGTATATTTATTTTTTCATTCCAAGGGAGACATTTGTTGTATCTTTGTCCCATTGGCAAATCTTGTTTTAAGGCATTTAAAATTAACGTGAGAATTTTGGCAAATGTGAGCAATTTTTGCCTTATTTTCATCACTTTTTGCAGTGTAGAATCAGAATCCTTTTCATTGCCTTGTGAGTAATAGTCCACAAACTAGGATTTTACTTTGGTTCATGGTGCAAGTTACTTTTACAAGTTATAAAAGTAAACATAGATAGAATATAAATACCATATTTTCCGCAGGCTCTAATTTTTAGAAAGAAATTTGATTTTGGACTGAGAACCCCAAGAAGTGTTTATTTTACGAGATATTTACATAAAGATATTATAAGTGAGGACTTTTAAACTGTGTGTATGTATGTAAGGGATAACGTATATTAAGCAGGGCGCAGACCGCTTCGCTCTGTCGGTACTTATTTTCCGATAATGACTTGTGTAATATACGTTATCCCGCTTATTACACGGCTTTATACCAACAGAACACACAACATAAACTTCAGTCCACTTTTAGGAATGCCAAAAGGTTTATTTAAAATAAGAACGAAAATAAAATAGTTCCCAAAGGTTTTCCCGTGGCTATGCTAGCAACTGTTAGGCTGGCAACTTCCAAACTAGAACTCTCTGGAACTGCATGAAAACTGAACAAAGGATCCTGAACATCAGCGGTGAGTGACCCAAACATAAACTTAACCTAAATCCATAATTCCATCCTCTGCAAATGTGTCCGAAAATGTGCCGGTATCTTAAAATGTGCCGGTATCTACTTCCGGGTTTTTCGGGATCGCCTTTTCTCGCATTATAACAGTGTTTTTGTCATGAAAACGTAAACGGAAAATTCTGAAAACTTCCGTGCACTTGTATTAAGACTGGATATGTATAAATTACTCTCCGATTAACATTTCATGTAGGGCTGGGCAATATGGCTGAAAACTATATCACGATATAAGTCATTCATATCGGTCGATAACGATATATATTGAGTTTTTTTTTTTTTTTTTACCTAAATAAATACATTTGTGGTGTGGGCTAACCAACCTTAGCAGCCTTGTTTACAGTCACGGGGCGATGAGGCTGGAGGAATATGTTCACACTGTGTCCCTCGTTGTTAGTCCTGGTTTAATCCTGGTTTAGCTGTTTGAGGGTCTTGTGTCCCCGTGGCCGCTCCGTGTGGCTCTCTGTGCCGCACATGCTTCCCGAGGAAAAAGTTAATCTCTTGCTTTCGCCGAATACATCGTGTCTGTCCACTGCCCGCACATGTTATTCCGCGCACGTACGTGCATAACCATTGACACGGCATTGAAACACGAGCTATAGATCCATGGATGGTATGCATGGTGCGGTTGTTGGTGTTTTTGCATTTCCCAGAAAGTTTTGCGGTTCCTGCTCGGCTGTTATTGGTCAAGAAGCCTCTGCCTACATCCCCCACAATGCCATGCGCTTATGAGTCGGCTTTACTTCCGGTGTTTTCTTCCTGTTTTTCCTGACGGAGTTAAGTTAAACTATCGAACATTCTATCGACCCCATTCTCTATTGATATCGAACACATGTCTATCGCGATATATATCGTTATCGTTTTATCGCCCAGCCCTAATTTCATTGCGTTGATTGATTGGCATTTTTGTTTATTGAGCGTGGCTAGCTCCGGAGTGGCCGGAACTACTTGCTGGGTTATCCTACGCATCTGAAAGACAAGCAGAGAGTGCGTTGCCAAAGGGCAGCGGTCATTATTGTTTTGAGAGGTCCGTTATAGAAAATAATGACCGGTAGAACGTTTTGAAATTACATTCAAATCAATGGAGCGTTCTACTGCTGCTGTGAGGAGCCGTATAATAAATGTATATAATAGATTGTATCTGTGACAGACTTATGCGCCGCATCAACTCCTTTTTTTCTAGTATTTTCCGTGTTATTGAAGGTGAGTACAAACGACTGATTTAAAAATCACACAATTTGATTGGACGTCTGTTACTGTGTGACGACCTCAGTCCTGTATAGATGCTGCTGCTCCTGCTGCTACTGCTGCTGCTACTGCTGCCGCTGCTGCTACTACTGCCGTTACTGCTGCTGCCGCTGCTCCTGCTGCCGCTACTGCTGCTGCCGCTGCTCCTGCTGCCGCTACTGCTGCTGCCGCTGCTGCTACTACTGCCGCTACTGCTGCTGCTGCTGCTCCTGCTGCTGCTACTGCTGCTGCTGCCGCTACTGCTGCTGCTGCTGCTACTGCTGCTGCTGCTGCTGCTGCTGCTGCCGCTACTGCTGCTGCTGCTACTGCTGCTGCTGCCGCTACTGCTGCTGCTGCTGCTGCTACTGCTGCTACCGCTGCTGCTACTACTGCTCCTGCCGCTGCTGCTACTACTGCTGCTGCTGCTGACTTTCTCCTTCCAGGATG